GGACAGTATTACTTCATACTAAGCAATGTTCTGGGCACGTTACCAGAATGAAGACAGTTACACGTCCTTCCGGAGCTATCATACTCCTGGGAAAGACAAAGGCAAACAGATCATTATCATACAAGCGCTATCAGGGAGGCGTGTCTGGGTAGCAGTGGGATCACCAGAGAAGTACCTGCACCTAACAATTGGAAGAGGCAAATCACACAAGAGGAAAAACTGGGATGTGGCAGAGGAAAAAGGCTTGAACTCATGACCATTTGAAGGGCAAGAAGTTTTAGCCTAAACTTTTTATTGCCTCTCCTCCCCTGAGTGCTGTAGCACAGCAATGATTTCTCAGCCTACGACCTGCCCTGTCAAGATGAGCTAAACCGCCGAGACCGGTTTGGCTCAATGGTTAGAGTGTTGGCTTGGGGACTGAAGGGTCAATGGATAGAGTGTCAGCTTGGGGACTGAAGGGTCCCGGGTTCGATTCCGGTCAAGGGCATGTACCTTGGTTGCGGGCATATCCCCAGTAGGGGGTGTGCAAGAGGCAGCTGATCGATGACTCTCTCTCTCTCTCATCGATGTTTCTAACTATCTTTCTCCCTTCCTCTCTGTACAAAACCAATAAAATATATTTAAAATAAAAATAAATAAATAAATAAATAAATAAATAAATAATGAGCTAAACCATCACAGGTGGCACCTGAGTATCCAAGTGCCTAGCAGAACCACCTGGAAGGGACCCTGGTGCCTCACACCCAGTTTTCTCCAGTAAAACAAAGACACATGTAAAGGTTAAATGTATGTAAATTGCCCAAGAGAGTTAGCACATAGCAGAAGCTAATTCTCTTTTAAAAGGGAAAGAACTAACCTGTTCCATGTATAACATGGGACTCAGATGTGTAGAAATACAACTTTCTTTGCTTTCTATGACACAACTTGCTCTTAAGTCACCATTTCCATAAATGGTAAAAAACAAAAATGCTACTTCAAGATAACTATTTTCTGATATTAAGCTTACTCTTACAGGTCATTGTTTAATCAAGTTAATCTTTTACTGCCTACTTCCCCAAGACTGAATTAAGCTTCATAGGTAGTATATCATCCTAGCATCCAAAAAGGGGCATCTGGTCCCAAATGCCCTCTAGCCAAGGGGGCTACCCTCACCTTGGCACAGACCTCCGGCCTCTGTGCCTCCACAATGGAAGCCTCCTCAGCATCTCTTGGCTCAGGCACTAACTACTGCTGCTGTCTGGACCCATGCCTGGGCTCTCCCTGGTACTCCCAACACCATGGTTCCTGCCTTTGGCTGCACACTCGGTACCCTGTACCTTGTCTTTCCACAAGTAACTCTGCTGACTACCCTCAACCTCCTCCACTACTTCTCTCAAGGAGCCTGGGGAATTTTTATGGATTTCTGCCATGCCCTGCTGAAGCTGAGAGGACTTGGAGGGGAGGGGAGGGGGTGTTTTCTGAAGCCGTCTCTGCCATGCGTGCCACATCACCATTGCTACTGTGTTGATGCTGTATTGGCAGAGGGCAATGCAAGATGGTCTCCTCCTAGAATTCCAAGTGGGAAGCAAAATACAAGCCCACCAGATCTGAAGTTTCCAAAGCTAATTGGGCCTCTTAACGAGGCCCTCCCCCACGGGTAAAAGGGGTAAGAAGCAAGCCTCCACTTGTGTCTAAACTCTGTCACCACAAACTTTTCTAAGAGGCTCTTCTCTATGCCTGCAGCTCACTCCTCCACCCTCAGCCCAGAAAGGGCCTTTCCTTTGCAGTTTCATATTCTCTCCTTCTTGCTACTCTGTGTGCTCTGACTCCCTGGGCTCCGAGTGTGTGTGTGTGTGTGTGTGTGTGTGTGTGTGTGTGTGTGTGTGTGTGTGTGTGTGTTTAACTTTTGGAACTTAATATTTCTCTCTCAACAAAGCCTGACCCTTACAAATGAAAACTTTAGCCTTCAGTGTTCCTCTGAAAATGAGTTTTAGCAGCCAGTGCTGGAATTCAGAAGCTGAATGTCCCCTTTCTAATCTCCGCTGGTTCTGTCATCCCCCTGGAGCAGAGAGTGCTGCTGCCCCTTGAAGGAGGGCCTAGGCAACCAGGTTACCAGGGCTGGGAAGATGCCTCACAGAACCTCCAGCTTCCAGGGGGACAGGCTGCACTCTGGATCATCTCCCACTAAAACAACAATAAACGGTGGATAGAACATTTTCAAACCTCACTTTTAAAGCTGAAAAGTGCGATGTCTCTGACCAGCTGAGAGATAAACACCTGTAACCATGGAGATCAGTGGGTTACTACAACCCCAGAACCACTGATGTCCTGCAGGCACTTGCCATGGATGCTCTACTGCTCACTTAGCATTGATTCAATGACCATAAAGGCCAAGAGAGAAACTGTTCAAAGGCTGGAGCCTGCCCAAGCTGGGGAGCCCTATGGGTGACTTCCCACACAGTAGGCTGGACCCCTAAGGAGCAACACCCACAGGGCCAGGGTGAACTGCATCTTAACCCCTCCTTTCCCCAACCCTAGAGGACTTCCCAGAAGCCTTGTTGCCTTGGTACTGAGGCAAGTAGGAGACCAAAACAAAAGGATAAGACATTGCCAGAAAAAAAAGGGCCCCACATCAGCCTTTGCTCAAATTTGCAACCTTTTGCCTGGATTGGCCAAAAAAGCTCAAACCAAGGGCTTGATTTAAGGTCATCTATGACTTATACCTCCAGGTTTAAGGTCATCTATGACTTATACCTCCAAGTTTCCTGTCAAAGGCAAACATAAAGCCTTCCTGGAAGAAAATATATGTATCTTAGGCTGGGGAAAGCTTCCACAAGTAACTAATCAGAGACATTGACCAACAAACAGTCAAAAATAGGCACAAATGAAAAAATATAAATAAAAATGAAACAATCCTATATAATAAAGAGGTAATATACAAATTGACTATCATGCCCTCACAAGATGGTTGGCTATGACCAGGCCAGCAGAGGAGTTACTGAGGGAAGCCAAACGACTGAACAAGCAGGCTGCATGGGGCAACCAGGTTGGCAGGGGGGGGGAGGCAATGAGGGGTAACCAGACCAGCAGAGGGGGGCAATTGGGGACAACCAGGCCAGCATGGGGGGCAGTAAGAAGCAACCAGGCCAGCAGGGGGGGGGGGACAGTTAGAGGTGACCATGCCAGCGGTAAGGGGTGTGCAGTTGGGGGTGACCAGGCCGGCAGAGGGAGGGACAGTTGGGGGCGATTAGGCTGGCAGGGGGAGGCAGAGAGGGGTTACTAGGCCAGCAGGGTGGGAGGGGGGCAGTTGGAGGCAACCAGGCTGGCAGGAGGGGGCAGTTGGGAGAGACCTGGCGACAGCAGGGGGCAGTTAGGGGCAACCAGGCAGGCAGGCAGGTGAGTGATTAGGAGCTAGTGTCTGGGATTGTGAGAGGGAAGTCCGGCAGTCAGACATCCCCCGAAGGGTCCCAGGTTAGAGAGGGTGCAGGCTGGCCTGAGGGGATACCCCCGTCCCCTGGGCACGAATTTCTAGTATAAATAAGAAACAACAGGCCACAAAAACAACCTGTACAGACTTTGAAATTGGCATCATCAGATACCGATTTTAAAAGTTATGCTTTTGCCCTGGCCGGCTGGCTCGGTTGGAACGTTGTCTGTGGCAAGAAAGGGCCAGTGGCAACAAAGGGACACGGGTTTATTTCTGGTCAGGGTACATGCCCAGGTTTCAAGGTCCTTTCTCAGGGGGGTGCACATAGGAGGCAACCGGTCAATGTTTCTCACATTGCTATTTCTCCTTCTCTTTCTCCTTTCCTCTCTCTCTAAAATCGGTAAAAACAGCCTGGCTGGCATGGTTCATGGTTGAGTGTCAACCTATGAACCAGGAGGTCATGGTGTGATTCCTGATCAGGACACATGCCTAGGTTGTGGGCTCAATCCCCAGTGTGGGGGGTACAAAAAGGCAGCCAGTCAGGGATTCTCTTTCCTCATTAATGTTTCTTCCTCTTCCTCTCCCTTTCTCTCTGAAATAAATAAAAGGTTTGTGTGGTTTTTTTTCATTTAAATGTGATCAGTGTATAATATAGAATAATATGTCCTATTAAGGTTAGGGGGATAAACAGATTTAAAATATCTACAACAATGACATGTAAGAAGATATTAAGTGCAGTTACAGAGTTCTAAATTCCTTGTGTTGTTGAGGAAGAGGGTAAAGCTCTTAATTTACTTTGGCTATAAGACTGCATATGTAAGTTTCAGTCCAAGAGGAAAAAAATGAAATAAAGTATATAGCCGAAGCTGGTTTGGCTCAGTGGTAGAGCGTCGGTCTGCGGACTGAAAGGTCCTGAGTTCGATTCCGATCAGGGGCATGTACATTGGTTGCGGGCATATCCCTGGTAGGGGTGTGCAAGAGGCAGCTGGTCGATGTTTCTCTCTCATCGACGTTTCTAGCTCTCTATCTCTCTATCTTCCTCTCTGTAAAAAAATCAATAAAATATATATATATATTTTTAAAAAGTATATAGGCAGGCAGAAAAAAAAACACATAAAACTTGTGACAAAACACACACAAAAGATGTTAGCTTGAAACTTAAATATGTCAATATTTACATTAAATATAAGTAAACGTAATGCTCCAGTTACAAATTGGTAATTGTCAAACTTGACCAAAATATTTTTAAATTCAGCTATTTACAAAAGATGTGTTTAAAACGGAAGTATAGGTAGGTTGAAAGAAAAAGGTTATATAAAAAAAAAAGTCCATGCATATATAAAGCTGTTGAGGCTACATTAATATCAGACATAAAGACTTTAAGTCAAGAAGCATTGTTAGAGTTAAAGGTGCTCAAGTCACATAAAAGTATGTAAGAGTAATAAATACGAAGGCAATAACATATCGTTAGAATAGGGATATGCCTGAGAGAGCTGGCCACTCAGGAGAGAATGCCAGGAGAGGCACGGAGATTTTGAGCACCTGCCTGAATTCGGGCAGGTGGCAAGCAACACCACTCTTCTGCTTTGCCTAGGAACGTACCAGGTGATCGGGGGTATCATCTCTCCAGTCAGTGACAACTACAGGAAAAAAGAGCTTATAGCTGCCCACCACCGTGTGGCCATGGTCCGGCTGGCGCTGCAGACGTCCGACTGGATCCGGGTGGACCCCTGGGAGAGTGAGCAGGCGCAGTGGACGGAGACGGTGAAGGTGCTGAGGTAACAGTGGGCATGCCTTCCTGCGATGACCAGGGTCCATGGGTCATGTCTGCGGGGCCCATGGTGTGAAAGTAGGGATGCAGTGTTGAGTGGGGCTTCAGCCAGGCCTTCACAGCCAAAATCCAAGAAGTCCTCACCCTAGAGGGAGAGAGACCAACAGGCCCGCGGTCTCAGAGAGGTCCTGAATGAGAAAAATCACAAACCACTGCCCTTTGGGATGGACTTTCTGGAAATGCCCAGTCTTATTTCAGCCGGTTGTAGGTACCATCTGGCTCCAGTGCTACCACTGAGTAGTTTTAGGCTCTGGGCACTTGACCTATCTTCTCTGAGACACATTTCTCATTTGCAAAATGGGGACAATCAACCCTATTTAGGATTTTAAAGATGGAAATAACTTTTCTGACCCAGAACTACATAAAAATATTCATTAATTGAGGCCTTTTATTATTGTCAGCATTGAGTATGTTGAAAACTGTGGGTACATAATACACTATCTCTTCTAATTATACAAGTCCTGGGTTCTATAAATCTAGACTTTAAAATGGTGGAGATGGGAGACTATGAATCTAGAACTAGTTACACAGCTGCTTTTTTTTTTTTTTTTTCTTTCCTTTTACTTATTTTCAAAGTCATTTGGGAGAAAGTTTGGGTAAACATTTAGCTGCATACCCTGATGCTTATTATTTACTTTCAGGGGGAGTGGGGGAAAGGGGCAGGGTGGGAAATGGGAAGAACCAGCTAAAAGCATTCAGCAGTTCCAGTGGTCCTTCAGAATCTGTTGCCAAGTTAAAAGGAGAGCAAATATGAAATAACTGTTAGGACATGTGCTCTCTCTTTTTTTTTTTAACAAAAGGAATAAATTTCCGCCTAGATCATCAATCAGAATAAGCCCTATAGTCAGCTCTCATTCATCTAGGATAAGAGGGACATGGAAACAAAACAATAGACAATCCAACAAATCACTTAGCTTGAGACAAAAGCAGAAACAGATAGATGCTGTGGAGTGTGGCCTAGGGCCTCTTCTTACCACACCACCCCCTCCACCCTCCGCTTTTGAGTCCAGTTTGCTAGCTAAGTGACTTGATGTGAGTCAGCCTCACTGAGCCTCAGTTTCTTACCTAATAATTTGGGGGTGACACCACCTACCTCCATGGGGTACAGTGTGAATTAAATGAGATAGTGTAGGAAAAAAACACTTGGTTTCTGGAAGATGCTTAATAAAGTTTACTACCTTCCCTGTATCCCTAACACTGGCCTATAATTTATCCTCAAAACAGAGAAGCCATTCTTGGATAAACAGGAACTGACCACAGTACTATATCATATTACTAGAGCTTCTGCAGAAAAATGCAGGTGTGTGCTAAATTTTACTGAACAAATTCTTTTCTTTTCTTTTTTTTTTTTTTTTTTTTTTTTTACCTTGGCTGCACATTGAATTACCTAGGAACTTTCGAAAGTATCAGTGCCTGAGTCTTACCCCAGAGGCTGGGATGTCGTCGGGATTTTTAAGTGTTCCCTGGTGATCTTAACCTGTGGCCAGAATTTTCAGGCTTTTCATTAGTACAGAGATCCGTCCAAACCAGTGGTCTCAACCCTGCTGTAGGAATCACCTGGGAAGCTTTCTTAAAAAATGCTAAACACCCCTCCCCCCATCACACACACACACACATGATTATGATATTCTGGGTTGGGGTATAGGCATGGGTAATTTTTAAAAGGTACCCAAATGATTTATTTTGTGCAGCCAATGCTGAGAAGCCCCTGATACAGACAGTCAACACTATGTTATCAGATAGTTGATTATCAGATATGTTTTCAACATTTGGAGTGAGCTTCATCTCCAAGTTTATTCATTACATTAAAAAATTTGTTTGATTATTAATGTTTATCTAAAACTACCAGAAGCTCTTTTTTTAAGGTTGAAAAATCTGACTAGTTGTAAAGTTAGGTGGCTTCTAGAAGGCATGGTAAATCTACTCCATCCTTTGCTCCATTTAATATCTTCTTGGTCGAGTCAACAGCGGATTTCCATCATAGTAACAGTGACAAATATCACTGTAAAGTAAATCACTGTAGGGCTTATTGAGGATTCTTTTTCTCCTTATCAGGTAGCTTATGTTTAAGTCTAGGCCAGCTTTCATGCTTTTAGGGCATCTGATAACTTATATCTCACTCACCGTTTCCCCATGATGTGGGAGGAGAACCCTGGTCACGTGACTTGATGTAGTCCATCATCAACATCGCATGTACCCCTTCACAAACATGATGTTACATTGTCCTCGCTTTACAGATTAAGAAACTGAGGTTTAGAGAAACTAACTTTATCATAGTCACACAACAAGGAGGCAAGTGGTGGAGCCTCAGTCTGTTGAACTCTGATGCCAGGCTCATGGCCATCTTCAAAGCCAGGGATCTGCAGGTGGGAACACTTTGCTCCTACTACAGTGGCCCTTAGATCAGGTGTCCCCAGAGACTACTGGGGCTTCTTAGGACACAGAGAATGTGCTTCTCAGATCAGTCCTCAGGCCTAGGGTGAGGCACACCAGGGTACCACTGAGGCAGGCAATGACAGGAAGTGATGGCCACTTCCCACAGAGGCAGAGTGGAGGTCTCTGAGGAAGAGGTACTGAGCACTGTAAGTAATTATTTGTACAGCAGAGTTTAGAGATCTAGCTAATACTCAAAATAGGTTAACTCGAACTAGAAGCTTCAAGGTAAGTAAATGAAATGGCAATCAGTACCTTTTATTGATCACCTACTGTGCGTACTAGGTACTTTCATGTGTATAACAGTTAATCAGCTCAGCAACTCTGAGAAGTAGGTGGATTTAGCCCCATTTTGGAAATGGAGAGTGAGAAAGGGTCAGTGACATGCTCAAAGTCCTGTAGTTAGCAAGCGGAAGTGATCCAAACCTACTTTAACCTGATGTGAGATTTCAGACTAAGCCATGAGTGAAGCCATAGAGGTAGGGTGCAGCTTACTAAAACTAAAGCAGAAAGAAAATATGGAAGCACAGTTAGGCCTTAAGAGAACTTAGCCCAGTCTCTGAGATGATCAGAAAGGACTTTGGACCAGAATTAAATGTATTCTTTATCCACTCCTTCCATCATTCCGGAATATAGCTGACTCTCAGTGCACAGTTCCTGAGTACTAAGACTGTAAGAGTGAATTGGATGCCCTCCCCGTTCACAATCTTATGGGGAAGATAAGCTGACAACAATAATAATAATAGCTAACGTTTATTAGGCCCTTTCTGTGTCTGGGCCGGTGCTAAGCTCTCCATTTAATCCTCACAGCAGCTCTCTGGGATGGGGAAACTGTCATATTCCCCCATCCTACAGATGAGGAAACTGGAGGCAGATTGCAGAAGAAACCCAGCAAGATTGCACAGCTACAAGCTGGAGCCAGAGTTCCAACCCAGGCAGTCTAATGCTAGAACCTCATCTTTACCCTGAGCCCTCCCCCAGTGATCATCAGCATTGAGCCTCTTCCCCAGCACTTGGCAGGGTAGCGCACTTCCTTCTTCGTGCTCTTGGGATACTCAGCAGAAATGAGGCCGGCATGTACTTTACATGACCAATTAACAGGCAAGGTCAGTGAGGCTCCCAGGGTGTTGGTTACCTTTCGGGGATCAGACATGCAGGAGAACCTAAACTTGAACCCACCTGCTCTGGCTGCAAAGCGTATGCTTTCATCACCCGCACTGCTCCCTCTCAAATACAGCTCTAGTTAATGCACAATACAGTAGGTAGGAGATGGAAGATCAAATTGATATGACATAGTAATTACCTGTGTGTGATTTAAAAAAAAAGAAAAAGACAGAGCTATCTTTTGATTTGCAGAAGACAGAATGCTGAAAGAGCCACACATGCCAAATTGGTGAGGCTAATCATATTTGAAATGCTAACGTGTAACGAGATTTGCTCTGTGTGCACACTGTTCAATGCACTTTGCATGTACAGCTCTTTTAGTGTTCATAACCACCCGTTGGAGGCAGGCACTGTCATTATTTCTCATCATGCAGATGCTGAACCATCCGCACAGAGTCCTGAAACCCTCGCTCGGGGATACACAGCAGGCCTGGCGGGAGGGAGTGTGGCGGGGAGAGCTAGGATCCTACCCGGGAAGACTGGCTTGGAGTCAGACTCTTAGCCATTACTCTGTCTAGTTCTAACAAATCTAAAAAGTGGGTGTTTTTATCCAGGCTTTGCAAATGAAAATTTGTGTTTTGAACTCAGATCTGTCTGATTCCAATAGCCACGTCCTTAACCCCTACTCACTTCCTTTTAAAAAGTGTGCTATTGAGAGAAAATGTGAAAAGAGTAGGAATATGCTAAATTCTCCCCCTCCTTTCCGCCCCTTCCTCCCCCAGTGTCTGCTTTCTGTCTAGCACCTGGCACAGGGCCTGGCACATAGTAGGCCCTCAGCAAATAATTGTGGGATGTGCTACCTAAAACGGACAGAAGCAGGCTGAGACTGGGAGCCTCTGGGTGGCTTTGGGGGACAGTAGGCTGCACAGACACACCCTGAGCCTTATGTTTACAACACAGGCATCATCACAGCGAACTACTCAGATATCTGCCCCAGGAGGAAGGTCGGGGCCAAGGCAGTGCTGTCTCTCAGGCACCCGCAGGTGGGTACTGACCCCTCTTCTGTGGGAGGGAGAACTGATGGGAGTCACAGCCCTCTGGGGCCTGCCTGCTTGGGGTGAGCTCCCCAGGCTGAACGGTGAAATTAATCCGTCTGCCACCACCCCTTGTAAACAGCAATGCTAACTTGGGATTTCCTGCCCCAAAGGGGTTTACCTACCCTGTGACCTGTGCTTGTGACATGGATTACAGTCAGGACTACACAGGATAAATGATGCTGGGGTTCTTTTAAAAGTCTTAGCCTTTCTGTTTTGTTTTGTTTTGTTGTTCTTTTTGGTGTTTTTTGTTTTTGTTTTTGTTTTTTCTTGTTGAATACAAAATGTGCCATTATAATCCTTAAACAGTGTAACTCAGTGGTTTACTCGGGAAAGAAGACGTGTTTTTAAGGAAATTCGCAGTTGATTTGCATTGTCCTTTCAGTTTGTAACCCTGGGTTTCTACCCTGCTGTCAGCTCCTGGTGTGTGGCAGAACCTTGCCAGCTGTGATTTCAAAGTACCTTCTCTCTCCAAAGGTGGCCATGGCGCCCTGGGGTGGGAGTCAAATGCAGGGCCCCCTCTTGCAAATAAACAGGAACAGGTGATGGGCGGGCAGGACTTGGCACAAGAGGGAATCACTTACTTTCCCACTGGCCTGAAATTCCAGCAGCTCATCTGCGGTTCTCCCAGCGTTGGTTGGTGGGACACTATTTCCAGATCAGTCTGGCTTGGGAATGTCATGGTTAAACAGGCCTACAATGGCTTCTTTACTGCAGGCGTTTCAGAGCCTTCATTAGGTTCATGAGCATTGTGACTCACAGGAAAAGGAAATAGCAGCCATTGTCATGGTTTAGTCTTTTTTTAGCGCCTGTTAGTAATTCTCAGAACTAGACTGGGAAACAATCTTCTAAAAGGACTTGAAAATGCCACCAGGCCCCCAAGGTTTCCTGCTTTAGCCCCCAAATGCCAGCCAAAGGATCCCTCACAGCAGAGTCACCTGCGAGGCTTGTTAAAAACACGAATTCCCAGACCTCCCAAGTGGGAATGGCACCTGGGAATCTGGGTGTTTCACAGTCACTCTGGGGACAGGCTTTATGGCCCTTTTGGGGAACTGTGTACTGGAGTAGGAATCTAAGGAGGAAGGAATTATAGAGTGTCCTGTGTAATCAGCTTATGCGATGTTTATTATATTCTTCTGGTCTCCGCCTCTCCCCCCGACTGCATGAGCTCTTTCCTCTGCCCCAGTCGTGAGCACAAGGAGTGTTCATTCTCAGCCTTTTGCCTCCTTTCTGAATCATCTCTGGCTCAGCACTCCTCATAGGGGTCTAGAGATGCTCGCTCAGCACCACCCCAGACCAGGCTCTGGGCTCAGCCTGAGAACAGAGCCAGCCTTCCTCCACCCTAGACCTGAGCTGGAGACAGGCTGTGAATGGCAATGAGCCCAGGCATGGATTAGGAAGGCTGCCTGGAGGAGGAGACACCTGCACCCGGACTCATAGGATCAGTAGGTTGTCTGGAGTTGGGGGCATTTCTGGACAGAAGGGCAGCTGAGCAGGATACAAAGGCAGGAAACAACGTAGGTGCTGGGCACTCCGTGCCTCTGAGGAATGCTGGAGCCTCCAGTGAGAGGCTGGGAGCCCCCCCTGTTGTGGGAGCCATGCCACTCTGAGGCTCCCATCTTCTCACATGTCACCTCTCTACACATGCTTCTAGAATCCCTATCTTGTCTCTTTGTCTTGGCCACTCCTCCTTCTCCCATCTCGGTCCCCTGTTGAAACCTATCTGACCTTGAGGCGCAGCTTGGAACCCACCTTCCCTGTGAAAACAGTCCCATTTTCTTTCACCTCACATGGACTCCTCATGCCCTCTGCCAAAGCTCACGGCACTCTCTTTGGGGATTTAATTTTCTAGGGGTTCCTAGCCTACTCTGCTCGGCCCTATAACATTAAGGTTTGTCTCATATCCCCTTCTTTCTGTTCAAAACCTAAATGCTACTCATCTTGTTCTCATTTAAAGAAACTATTAAAAAAGGAAGTTTACATTGAATGAAAAGTGGGCTTTTGGTTGACCAGAATGAATCAGAGGCTTTAAAAATGTCCATGCCCCTGCCCGGCCAGTGTGGCTCAGTGGTTGAGTGTTGACTTGTGCACCAAGAAGCCACTGGTTTGATTCTCGCAGGGCACATGCTTGGGTTGGGTTGAGTTGGGTTGCAAGTGCTCACAGGACATGCAGGAGACAGCCAGTCGATGTTGTCTCTCATCGATGTTTCTCCCTCCTTTTCCACACTCTCTAAAAATCAATTTTTAAAAAAAAAATTTTAAAGGGGGGGGGGGGGGAAGTGTCCATATTTCTTGCATGATATAGTTCGCACTGCACCCCCTCAGGAATCTAGCTGAGGAAATAATTAGAAATCAGGACAAAGGTTTATGCAGGAAGGTGTTTATCACATAATTTTTATAATGGCAGAAAATAAAAGCAACCTCAGTGTTTAAATACAAGGGATTGTGTAAGTAAATTATACTGTATACCTGGATGAAGAATCTACACAGATCTTCTTTGTTTGGAAAAATGCTTATGAGGTAAGTGGAAAAAACAAGATAAAGTTCTATATATATATATAATCTCAAATATATAGAAAAATATAAATATTTTAAAATATACTAAACTATTGTGATTTATAGAAAGCAAAATTGTTATTATTATTACTAGAGGCCCAGTGCACGGATTCATGCACTGGTGAGATTCCTCAGCCTGGCCTGTGCTCTCTCGCAATCCGGGACCCCTCAAGGGATCAGGTCAAACCGGCAATCCAACATCCCTCCAGAGATGTCGTAGTGCACAAAGCAGCAGGTGGCCAGGGAGGAGCCCAAGCCCGAGCCTGGCACTGTGCCACTCTCGCTCATCCCAGCCCTGTGCCTGTCAACACCGCTGCCCAGTAGTGCTGAGGTGGAGGCGGGAGAAGCTCATGCTGCTGCAGCCGCACTTGCCAGCTATGAGCTTGGCATCTGATGCCCGTCAGTCAGCTAAGCAGCGCTCCTGCTGTTGGAGTGCACTGACCATCAGGGAGCAGCTCCTACATTGAGCATCTGCCCCCTGGTTGTCAGTGTACATCATAGCTACCGGTCGTTCGGTCATTTTATTGTTCAGTCGCTTAGGCTTTTATATATATAACTAGAGGCTCAGTGCACAAAAATTCATGTACTTAGGTGGGGGGTTCCTCAGCCCACCCTGCTCCCTTTCACAGTCTGGAATCACTAGCACTGCTTCAGAGGCAGGAGAGGCTCCCCGCCACCATGGCTGCGCTTGCCAGCTGTGAGCCTGGCTTTTGGCTGAGTGTCGCTCCCCCTGTGGGAGCACACTGACCACCAGGGGACAGCTCCTGCGTTGAGCAGGATCAGGTCAAAACGGACTCTCCAACATCCCCTGAGGGATCTGCCCCTGGTGGTCAGTGCATGTCATAGCGAGTCAACTGTCTGTCCCCTGGTGGTTAGTGTACATCATAGCAAGCAGTTAAGAGGCCTTAGCATATCATTAGCATATTACACTTTCATTGGTTGAACAGACAACTGGATGACCAGACACTTAGCATATTAGCCTTTTATTATGTAGGATTATTATTATTATTATTATTATTATTATTATTATTTCCTGCTTTTAACACATATCTTCTACATGTTCCATAATTGACACAGATATGTTTGTAATCAGGAAAAAAAAAAATACAAGAGCAATTAAAAGAGGAAGATGGAATTTTTCTCAGCCTAAGTTTGGCTTTTGTATGTTACTAGTGATGTATTTCTGAAGGACCATTTTGTGTGCTGTGTATTTTATTGTGTGTTGTTCTATGCTGGGATTGCGAATTATAGGCTGAGCTCAGCATTTTCTGGCTGCCAGAGCCCTGCTTTGCCCATCATTCCTGTGATTTGCAGTCCTCCTTGGCCTCACCAGAGTCATGTGGATTGCCTCCTGCGTCCTGAGTTACATGGATGTCACACTGGGATGGAGGATGCCTGGGTCCTTTAACAGCCGACGATGTCTCTTTTGTGAAGTTGGTCCCGCCTTGGGCTGATGGGCTGAGCACAGCCCAGTGACCTTCAGAGAACCCCCTTTCCATATAACCTAGCAGGCACGCCATCTGATTCCATTTCACACAGACTTGTCCGGTTAAGCTGGGTGCTGCCCTACAGATGCCAATACCTGGCCTCATTTTTGGTGTCCTGTGTAGGCCCAGAAGACCCACACTCCTGGGTGTGTTCGTGTGGCCCACGTGGCTGTGTGCATATCCTGCATTAGGCAGGAAATTCACATAGCATTCCCTCCCTCATTCAATTTTCATAACTTCCCAGGAGGTTTTATCATCCTCATTTTACAAATGAGGAAGCAGGCTTGTCTGCTACAACTATGCCAGAGCCCCAGCTGGTCTGAAGTTCGAACCCAGGGCTGACTGACTTCAGATCTGGTGCCCTTTAATGTCAAACCGTTAAGGCAGCTTGCCCGGTCAGTGTGGTTCAGTGTTGAGCCAAGAGGAACTTCAGGAACCAAGAGGTCATCAGTTCAACTTCTGGTCAGGGCACATGCAGGCAGGCTTGATTCTCCAGTAGGGGGAATGCTGGAAGGAGTCCATCGATGATGTTTCTCTCTCACTGATGTCTGTCTCTCTCTCTCTCTCTCTCTCTCTCTCTCTCTCTCTCTCTCTCTCTCTCTCTCTCTCTGTGTGTGTGTGTGTGTGTGTGTGTCTCTGTCTCTCTCTCTCTCTCTCTCTCTCTCTCAAAAATTAATTTAAAAACTTTTTAAAAGGCATCAGGGCAGCTGGACATTCAACAGAAAAGGTCCTGGGGGCCCTTCCCTCACTTTCCATATGAATCTCTGCTTTCCAAAGCCTGTGGCAATTCAGAGAGAGCACCCTGCCTGAAAGTGCCACACACCTTCTGCTTATGTCACTGCATCACTGTTCAGACAAGTCAAACGGTAGCCTTTATTCAGCACCTCAGACGATGTACTGTGGACTTGGGTGGCGAGAGCCACTTGATCTGAAGGTTTTGTAGCAGTGATGTGAGTGGATTTGAGAGGGATATGGGAACACTTGGGAGGCCTGATGACAGGACTGCCCAGAGTTGGGGTCTGAGCACCTGTTGCCAGAAGAAGACATGCCTTTGACTTGAGGACCAGGGAAGGGGTGAGCGGGGGCTCAGAGGGAACCGTGCTCCTACTGTCATTGTTAATGAGTCAAGCAGCATCTAATATTGAAGCCGATATGTGGAAATCATTCCACAAATATGTACTGGGAGGAGAAGAGGCTGTCTTTTTCTCTGACCTATGGGAATAGGGGTGTGTGCCCTAGGCCTCGGGAGACGCTGGAAATAAATGTACATCATCTAACCTCCCCCAGAGGAAGGCCATATAAAAACCACCCAACTGTTTGAAAGGACAAACTCTGGTGTTAGGCTGTAGTACAATGATTGAATAAATAAGAAATGACTAGAAACCTCACAGGTGCAGAATAATTTAAACTCACACATATGTTGAAGCAATGGGACCAGCCCAAATTAGTGAAAAGTGTGAGTTATTGGAAAATTTTAAATGCAGTTTCATTGATTATAAAAGGCTATTGGATACCCTGTAAGTGTTCAATGGATGTGTCGATGAATGAATTGGGGGACAAGTGGGTGGATGGATGGACAGACAGACTGATGGATGCAGGTAAAACATACCACACTTACTCTGTTCCAAATACTATTCTAAGTACTTTACGTTTATAAGCTCACTTGATTCTAAAACAACCCTAGTTGATAAGTACTTAATATTCTCATTTTAAAGTTGAGGTCACCCTGTTAAATGACAGAGCCAGGATTGGAATCTAAGGTGTCTAGAATCCTGTTCTCGACCATGGAGAATTCGTGCATACATGCATTAATGTATGTTGAATACCATTTCCTTGTACCAATATTATCCTGCTAGAGTGTTTGAAAGGTGTGTTTCTCTAATCACACCTGCTGAGTACACAAGTCCAGCGCCCACCATTTCATAGACGGGAAGCTGCGGCCCAGAGAAGGAAGGCCTTGGCTCTAGCCTGTGCCCAACTGGGTCTGGAACTCGAACCTCTCCATGACACTCCGTTTCTCGCTTTCCATCCCACAGCTGGGCTAGTGCTCCTCTTTCGCTTCATCTCTCTGGTCCAGGTCCAGATTCCTTCAAAGGTTCCACAACAGAGGAGCCTAAACTGAGCATTTACATCAGGTTTTCCCCTAGCAGGTGGTATCCCTGAAGCCCCTCCCAACCGAGGTTTGCTGGTGACTGAGAGATGCCAGCGCTCTAGGAGCCCGGCCTGGGCTGTTGACCAAAGCTGGAATCCCCTTCCAAAAGGACCAGCGATCCTGCAGGTTGCTTCTCCCAGGGACTGGGTTTGTCCTTTACAATCCAGGAAGGGCTTCTCTGTTCTGATGCATGAACAATTCCTGCCAGCAGGCGGCAGCAGAGCCTACCAGTTACAAATGCCCCGCCTAGAGGCTGGCTGTCAGGTTTAAATACTAACCGCCTGGATGAATGAGTGGCCTCAGGCAAGTCACTTGCCTCTCCCTGCCTTCCTTTCTCCCTCTGCCTCATGAAGTTGTTCTGAGGCTCAAATGAGAATATACACAAAAGGCGCTCAGCAACCAATAGTGCTCATAGTAAGCACCCGATAAATGTTAAGTATTCTTTTATCAGCACTATCGCCATTCTGTCAGAACAGATGTCAAAGGATTATCCACATTGATCAGTTGTTCTAGAGCTTTGTTTCATTGAAAACAGATGACAAGGTCATCAGCTGAGGTCTTAGAGACCTTTTGGTTATCCTTTACAATTAACCTTTCTGATGAGGTCTTACTTAGAGAAGCACACGTGTTAGAGCTGAAATGGGTTTTGAGAAGGGCAGTAACTTGTCTGAGGCCCACAGTTTGTTAGTCCTCAGGCTTAAAGGAGGATTCTTCTGTCAGAAGATGGGGTTCTGGGTACGGCATAGCCACCTTTGGACACTCTGCTGCGTGGGATCCAGCAACTACTAAAAATGAAAACTATTCTGTGTTACTTGGCACTTCACAATATCAGACAAAGATTTATTGATCTAATTACTACCTATACCTGTGTGTCCCCGAAGTGGCTTCAGATTCGTGCATTTTCTTTTTGAGCATGGAGACATTGAGTTTCCAGTGGAGCGTTTTGTGAACATTTCAAATGGAATACGTGACCCTTCCTGTAACTTCGCTGGGATCTGCCCTTGTCTTTCCAGCTGTGCCTGAGCTGAAGCTCCTCTGCGGGGCAGATATCCTGAAGACCTTCCAGACCCCCAACCTCTGGAAAGACGAGCACATCCAGGAAATAGTGGAGAAGTTCGGCCTGGTGTGTGTGGACCGGGTTGGCCACGACCTGAAGAGGTACATCTCGGACACGCCCATCCTGCAGAGGTACCAACACAACATCCTCCTGGTCAGGGAGCCAGTGCAGAACGAGATCAGCGCCACATACGTCAGGAGGGCCTTGGGCCACGGGCACAGCGTGAAGTACCTGCTCCCAGATGCCGTCCTCGCCTACATCAAGGACCACAACCTCTATTCCAGGGGCAGTTCTTGCAAAGGCAGCAGCACCCAGAACAACGAAGGAGAGACAAGCTAGGGAGGGCCAGCCTCTTCTTCACTGAGCTCCTCCTGAGAGAGCCATTCAGTCTTTGTTTTTCCTTTATTTTTTTCTTTTTTCCCATTTTTTTCATTGGTTTTCTTTCAAGAATGACTTTACTTCTGAGGAGTCTTCTGTCCCAGGAGGGGATGCCTTCCTTTAGGAAAAGCAAGTGTCTCAAGGATGAACATTTATCAAAGAAGTTAACATGGTGTGGCAGGTCATTAGGAGCTCTCAGGCCTTCTTATTTCATGAGTGGTACTTGTGACATGCGCATGGTGGTTCTGCGCATGGCAGGGTCCCCTGTGGGTCACATCAGAATTGCCCACAATGCACTTTTTAACCAGGACCAGGTGCAGCGTGGTCTTGATTGGAGAGATTTGACAGGATGCTAATTAACAAACAGTGGGCTTTGTCAACACCAGGTTTCAAACAAAATAATACCAACAGAGGACTTAAACATTTGGAAGCTGCACTTTGCTGATTCACACCAGATCTTCCTTTAAGAACCAGGATCTGCCTGTTTGCTGGCCATTGATAAAATTTCAACTAAAATATTTCTAAGTAGTGATCCTCAAACTATATTTTTGATACAGCAGATATTTTTAACACAGCCATTCTATAAATGCCCCAGCTCTTGATTTCCGGGTTTCTACGAAGAAACTGAGGCAAGACAGATGCCTCGAGTCTGTTAGAGGGTCTTTCTGAATGTTTAATGATGGCCTGCCTGTTTGAGTATTGACAAAGGGATCAATAATAAATTGGCATCAAAAACTACTAATGAAAAGTTTCTCTTTTTCTTCCTTTGTTGTATTATTAATGCCTGGTGTGCCAGATGTTGCTCTCCTTTTTAGCTGCTCCTTGAAATTTGCTACTGTTCCTATCAAACTGGCCTGAATGTAGAAGTTTATGTTCCTGGCAGTGGACGAGGCAGTTGCTTTTCAACATCATGTGAACGGTTCTCCAATCTGAAGCTCTGGGTAGGTGGCCTCGTTCAGCTGGGCCCTGGAAGATGAGAACAGGAGCCCAGCGTGGGGTCAGGATTTATCCTTTCATTCCTGATAGGAAGAGATTTTGATTGGCCTGATTCTGTTTTGAGTTTACTCGTTACACTTGCCAACTAAATGCCTGCATGCATTCAGGTTACTTCTTCATCCTTTTCTCCTTGCTTCAGATTTAGTCATGAAGAGAAACATAAGGTCAGTCGAAGAAACCTAAAATCTCCAGATATATATCCCAGTGTTTACATGTGTGTCATTACAGTGGTGACTGAAATTGATCTCCTGGGTCCAGAGCTGTGGGGCCCTCCTGTGGGGGTCCCCAGACTTGTAATACTGCAACCTCTGAAGCTGCTGGCCATTCCTCCTCCCCACTCCCCCATGATTGACCTCTACCCTAAAGAGGTCCCTAAGAACCCTGATAATGCAAGGGAATAGGAAACCAACAGCCCTGTCCAAAAGCTGCCACAGCAAACGATGTGACTTTAACTAGCTCCCTTCCCACTGTGAGCCTCAGTTTCCCAGCCTCCAAAATAGGAACCGACATCCTCTTAAGTTCTCTCCCAGCTCTGGTTTTCTAAGTCTCTGAGTGCCTCTGACCTCAGCCCCTCTCCCTTTCTTTGGGTCCAATGTTTCTAGCCAGACTAGGAGCTCTCCACGGGCAGGGGGTCTTTGTTTTGTTGTTTTGTTGGTTGATCTATCCTCCGTGCCTAGAAATCTGCTACTCCAAGGGTGGTGTGGGGCCACGGCACCGACATCCCTGCGGGGCTGGTTAGCAATGGAGGCTCTCAGGCTCCTGATGCTGGAGCTGCATTTTTACAAGATTCACAGGCCACCCGATGCACTGGCCTAGAACAAGGCCTGTTATAACAACGTCAGTGTTGTTGTTGTTGTTGTTTTTTAACAAGCTGAATGTATAACTGAAATTACATCACATTTGCTCTGCTGAATATCTTCCTCCTTGCTCTCTGAGCAGTGTTGCCCCCACTGTTCTGTGTGGAGTATAGAAGGCAAAGGAGGAAAACACACACACACACACACACACACACACACACACACACACACACACCTGCAAACAGCTGTAGTGTTCAGGAAAAGGGGTGAAGGGTTAGAGGCAGGGTCTCTCGGCTTGGGCTTTATTGGCATTTGGGCCAGATCATTCTTTGCTGTGAGGGGCTGCCCTGTGCATTGCTAAGCATCCCTGGCCTCTGTCCATTAGGTGCCGGTAGTAACATCCCTCCACTTCCTGCTGTAACAACAAAAATACCCCTGGACATTGGCACATGTTTCCTGGGCACAATATAACCATCCTCGCTGAGTCCCACTGGTATGAGAACATGGCTGCAGGGATATGTATATGAGAAGCAGTTCTGTTTCCCAAGAGGGAAAATCAGGAAGAAGCAGCTTCAGAAGAGTTTTTTAAAAAACAAAACGAAACAAAGAAAATGGTTTGAGAGCAGTCTCTACCACTCACGAAGTTGTGTTTATTCTGGGGGTCAGGATGCCCTTGACAGTAGGAACCAGAAGTCATGTCTTTGGACCAGGGGCACCTCGGTTTCAGTCTCCTTTCACTTCCCAGGGCCCTCGTGGCTTTCTCTCTTCCGTTTTCACAGATTGAGGCTCCCAACGTACCTGTACCTTCAGAACTGCCATCCAGGGCCTGGCAAGAGGTGACTGTCAATGAGTGGGAGCTAGTAGTTATATGAGTTTGATTATTATGATTCAAAATTCAGGATTCATTTATTTAAATTCTATTTATTGAGGACCTCTCATGTGCCAGGCACTAGACTAAACACTAGGGGTACAAGAATGATCAAAATAGACACAGTCTCTCCCTTCTAAAGGCTTGTGATCCACTGGGGAGGTGGACAGGAATCAAATACTCACACGACTAGACATGATCATGAACTGTGATGAGGGCTCTGAGAGCAAATACACTGTGTGCTCTGACAAAAGGCAGCAGATTCACTGAGAAGCTTAAGCACTAGCCTTTCACTTTCCAGCACCCTTGGAGGGGTATGACTTTCACATCATAATTTTTATTCTTATTCTGAAAACGGGCCTTCAAACCTGTACAGAGTTTAGTTTATCCCTCTAAAACACCAGGCATTCTCCCCAATGGCAGGGAAGAGAAGATGAATTTGAAATCTGAAAGATGAATTCACAAGACTTGGGGCATGGGTCAAGGCCACTGGCTTTCAGAATGAGCTGCATGTGCAAAAGCCCTGAGGCAGGAAAGGACACAATAAGCAGCATGATGAGCTTGATTTATTACCACCCTTTAAGAAGGGGGTTATTATTACGGTATGCACCCGGGAGCAGGCATTCTTGCCTGCCAGCATCTCCCTGCCCAACCTTTCTTTTTTTCTTTTCTTTTTTTTTAATATATTTTATTGATTTTACACAGCGAGGAAGAGAGAGGGATAGAGAGTTAGAAATGTTGATGAGAAACATCGACCAGCTGCCTCCTGCACACCCCCCACCGGGGATATGCCTGCAACCAAGGTACGTGCCCTTGACAGGAATCTAACCCCGGACCCTTCGGTCTGCAGGCCGACGCTCTATCCACTGAGCCAAACCGGTTTCGGCATGCCCAGCCTTTCTGTAGGCTCAGAGCCCCAGGCCCAACGAGGCTGGGAGGAGAAGCCTTCATCTCTGATTCGTGACTGTATCATGGGACTCCCCCCAAGCAAAACATTCACTTCTGAGCCTTTACATCATCCTTTTCTAAAACGAAACAACAGCCCTAGCTGGTTTGGTTCAGTGGATAGAGCGTCGGCCTGCAAACTGAAAGGTCCCAGGTTTGATTCCCGTCAAGGGCACATGCCTAGGTTTGGGGCTGTATCCCCAGTAGGGGGCATATAGTAGGAAGCCGATCAATGATTCTCTCTCATCATTGATGTTTATATCTCCCTCTCCCCTCCACTCTGAAATCAATAAAAATATATTTAATAAATAAAATAAAACAACACATATATAAACCCACATACCCATACTCACGTATATATTTCTCTAAGTCTCACTTTGTCCCACTGATGGCTGTAATCTCCCCTTGTTAGTATCAGAGGAGAGAAAATGTGTATCACCGCTGAGCTCCTGATTTGCTGCCTGGACTCTGACCAGCACACCTGATTTCACATTCCTTTCCATTCCCTCGGGCCTTCTTTGCATCTGGTTTGCCTGGCTGTTTTGTTTATTTTGCAGGAATAGAAAAGCAGTGGCTTGGGCTCCTGGGCAAATAGAATTTCCAGCCTTAAATAAAGGTTCTCCTGTGATAGCGCGTGCTGCCGAAGGAGCGGAGCTCTGTATCTCAGCCCGAGGAAAGACATTCTCATTTATAATACTTTCTGTGTCATTTGGGACAGAAGGATGTGAAATTCCATTTTAAACCGACAGCACTCCGGATTTGCAAGGCACATTTGGTAATTGGGTTAATGCATGACTGTGAATGTCCTTATCCCCATCCTCGCACTTCCTCTGCTGAGTGTTTCTGCCTTCATTTTTCGCAAAGGTCTCCATGCATAGACTGCGTTCCATTACAGTCATGAAGTTATTTTCTTGGGCCAGAACTCAGCATTATGGACACACTCGTGGAACTAATAAACAATCTGTAATAATGCACATAGGCACACACCAGAAATTTTTTTAGAATTATTCACATAACCCCAAAGGGACATGTTCATGGCACCATAGCCCGAAAACCAGAAGAGAATACATCTGGTCCCACCTTCCCCAAATGATCAGAATTCCACAAAGTCATGGGAATTTCACTCTGAAAAACAATGACAATATTGTGTTCTGAGGGCAAGTTGGGGGAGCCATCCCTTCCTCCTGTCAGGGCCCATATGGGAGGCATCCAATCAGTGTGTCTCTCTCAATTTGCCTCTCTCTCCCTCTCTGCCTCTCTTTCTCTCCCCCTCCCTCCTTCCCTTCCACTCTTTCTAAAAACTCAATGAAAAAAAAAAAAAGAAATCCTCCCGAGAGATTAACAACAAGAATAGA